CTATCCTTTTTTGTATATGCCTCTTTGCCTTTTGGCTGTGTGCAAGTGGGTCGATATGACACACGGGGATGGGGGCAGCCGCCGCTCAACCTACTACATCCACGTGGGCGGCCTTGTACGCAAGAGTTTCTGAACAGGGGGAGTTATAATAGGGGGAGTTATAAGGAAGAGATAAAAAACTGAATTCATTTTTTCTTGGTTTTCTTTCTTTTTTCCTTTTTGTTCGCATTTGCGCTCTGATACTCTTGTGACGATATATATATCAATAATATACTATACTACAGTCGGTCACAGGCGGTCGTCGGCCCTTCCGGCTTGTTGCTCCTCTTCCCTCCTACATGCTTCTCCTAACAGCTGTCGCTCCTCTGCTTCGTGCTTGATGCAGGCATGCGGAACGTTGTGTGTGCAAAGGTCCTCATGGATTACGAGCGTTGGTTTCGTCCTCTAGAGGTATTGTTCCAATTTCCAACCTTATTTCTCTCTTTTTTTTTTTTTTTTTTGTTTCTGGACGTAATTGCGGTCATATACGTCCAGATCCGGCCGTAAATGCGGCCAGATACATTTTAGATAGAGCTCGTGTGAGTACGCCCTTGAAACTGCTTGCTGCGTGAAGAAGCCGAGCCGCAGCAGCTCTCCATGACAGTTCAGCACGGGCTTCCCACTCGGGAGCTTGAACGATTTCTCTTTTTTTTTCCCTTTCTTCCCTTTCATTCCCCCTTTCTTTTTTTTTCGTTTTTTCTTTTTTCTTTCTAAGAAAAGGCCGACGGTCTTGAGTTATCGGGCATCGCCAAACACCACTCCAAACACAAATCACGGAATGTGAAAAAGACAAAACCTATTGCGAGTGTATCTGTCTATGTTTTCCCTGAAGATACATGCAATAGGTTTTTTTTGCACATGCGGGGAGTAATGTGGTGAGGCCCGTCATCATCGAACTGACCGGCCCTTGTTAGGTAACTCAGAGATTATTATTATTTTTTTTATTATTTTTTTTTTCCCTAGGTAGTAATTATCTGTCCTTGGGGACATCCGTTAAAATTGGGACGATACAGAGAAGGGAGATTAACATGGCCCCTGCGCAGGGATGACACGCATAAATCGAGAATTGTAGTATTTCACTCATCTGCTTCCATTGGAGTTCGAACTCGGGTTTATATTTCAACAGTTCAGTCCAGGGGGGGTGTACCAACTGAACTATATTTTAACAGTTCAGTCCAGGGGGGGTGACACTGTACCAACTGCCTTTCTTCTAGAGTTTCTCTTATCTCCGGCGTGCCGCATATGTTAGATCAACTTGAAAACGGGATTTCGGGCATACTCACACTAGCGCGTGTCTAAACGTATATGACCGTAATTGCGGCCAGATCTGGACGGATCTGACTGCAATTACATCCAGAGGGTAGTGGAAAAAAGTCCTTATGTCAGATCAACTTGAAAACGGGATTTCGGGCATATTCACACTAGCGCGTGTCGAAATGTATATGACCGTGATTGCGGCCAGATCTGGACGGATCTGACTGCAATTACATCCAGAGGGTAGTGGAAAAAAGTCCTACTGTCCCCCGTAGATAAACAGAAAAGACTGGAAAGCACGAATCAACAGCAAGGAACATTATTAACTGCATTGACATTAACGCGGGAGCTAAAAGAAGAGTTTTAAGTTCTAACAACGAGCCTAGCTCAGTTGGTACGTCCATGGACTGTTGAAATACAGACCCGAGTTCGAATCCAGATGATGGAACTAGACGAATGAAACCAAAATTTCTGAAGTACCTTGGGGCCGCTCAGCTGAACGGCAATATCTCAACGCCGGTCGCCGTTGTATATTAATAAAAGGGAGGAAGAAGAAAAAAAAAAGACAAAAAGGATAATCGAAAGAATGGTGTCGAATCCAGCTACTATTAGAGATGAAGAGGATAAAATCATGAAGGGTAACAGCTCACTGTATGAGAATATATCGTTTTCTTTTTCTTCTTTTTTTTTTTTTTTTTTTTTTGAGACTTGGACGCTGACCCGTGTTGGTTTGACTGTGGTGGACCTTGATGCACAGTAGGTCAGCGTACTTCCTCGACTGGCTTGCCAATCAACGGGAGGAAGCGAGGAACGCCGTGCAGTGCTGCTCACTCTCCTGCGGCTGAAGCAGCAGACATAGATGGCGCTGGAACAGCGGTTGCAGTTTTCTCAGCCAGTGATCGGAATCGGAGCGGAGGTGTATCCGTAGCAGCGATTGCACCGAAGACGAGAACAAGACAATCGGCCAAGGCAATCAATCTGGAGGGATGGCTCGAAGAATCGCTTGCAGAGGTCTGTATCTGGTCTGCTTTTTCAGCCGAAACCGGGAACAAAAAGAATGTATCTAGCACAGCTTCTGAACACAGGAAAAAAAAAGAAACGAAAAACAACGGCCCCACAGCCACGGACTGTTGAAATACGAACCTCAGTTCGAACCCAGATGGAAATTACATGAATGGAATTCCAAATTCCTGAATTCCCTGGGGTCTGGTCTGTGCTGCAATGATTTTCAACGCTGTCGCCCTGTCAAAGAAAAGGAAATATAGGGTGAACAAAGAACAAAGAACAAAGAACAAAGAAAAGCGCTTGCAACTGCGACCAGCACCCGCTGGCACTCATTCTACTGCTGCCCAGGTACAGGTATTTTGTTAATGAACTTAGTCACTACCGTCTTCACCCGTATAGAGTGCCCGGTCATTATGGCTGTATCCAGACTGAATGTTGCCCCGTATACAGCTATTTGGGTGACCGGGCGTTCTATTTGGGTGAAGACGGAAGGATAGATTGGTAGTGCCTGCACACCGTCGCTACTGGAATCTCTTCTTATTGACGCTGTTACTGCCTGAGCATGGCCACTCCTGGTTTTTTTTTTTTTTTTGCCCCCCTTAAACCCCTTTCGAAAAAGTTAGCCATATTCTTTGCTCAAATTCACCTTTCAGTGTATCTACCTACCACTACTCTTAAGCCTAGACAGTCATTTGGCAATATCATTGATCGTACCGCAGCCGCCGCTGTTGCTCCCTTGCCCTGGAAGTGGTTTGTACACTTTCTCCTTGCTGTTCTAGTGGTCCTGACCTGGTGCTGCTATTCCTTCCTGTCCTTGAGTTGTTCTCTATGCGGTATCTGCTGGGACTACCATCTTCATCTGAATGGAACACCTGCCAGGTCATTATCGCTGTTTTTGGGGCAACTTTCAGTCCAGATGCTGCGAGAATGACAAGGCGTTGGTGTTGTATCTGGGTGAAGACGGTGGTTCCTCTAATACTACTACTGTTTCGCCCTCTTCACACATATCTACTGCTGCTACAAGTCAAACTGTCATTCATTTTGTTATTGCTGTGTCATTGTTTTGTTATTGCTGTGCTATTGCTGTGTTATTGCTGTGTTATTGCTGTGTTATTGCTGTGTTATTGGTGGCAGTGTTGGTGGATCTTGATGTGAGAACAGTGAGATCCATTCGGTGAGTCAGAACATGGCTATTGATCTGGTATTCACTATCCTTTGTGTGCCTACTGCCCAATAATTTGCTTTGATGCGGAGGAGAAAGGGCCTCACCACAACACCACTGTCGATTCGAAAAAAGAAAGTGCATCTTCCCGCAAAGAATGGCAAGATGCACCCGTTACTATGGAATAGCAACGGATACATCTCACCGCTTTCTGGGGAAGATACATTCATTCTTTTTTGGGTTCCGACGGTGGTGTGGCGAGGCCCAAAGTAATGGATGAAGAGAGCACAGTCAGTGCGCTGCTGGGATTGGTTTTGCTGGTTGCAGAGGATCGGTGTGGACTTGATTCTGGACTCGGTTCTGGATTTCATTCAGGATCTGCTTCTGGATTTGATCCTGGATGTGATCCCGGATTTATTTGATCCTCTATTTGATTCTCGATTTGATTCTGGATTTGATTCTGCTCGACTTGGTGGAGTATTTCACAGTGTTTGTTTGTTTCATTGATTTTGGACATGATTTGTTTTGTGTGTTGACTTTTGATTTACTTGACTTGATTCTGGTTGACTTTTGATTTACTTGATTTGATTCTGGTTGACTTTTGATTTACTTGATTTGATTCTGGTTGACTTGGCTAGACTCACAGTCGTTTGTTTGTTTGTTTGTTTGTTTGTTTGTTTGGACCTGGTTTGTTTCATGTGTTGACTTTTGATTTGACCATCAGATAGTCAAGAACCTGCGGGACGCACCGTTCCTGCAATTTGTGTTTGATTCGTCTTCGAGTTGCGACACCCCAGTACAAGAGGTACGGTCGGTCAGACACCAGGTGCCGACCGAGTTTTTCCAAGACCCTGACAAATGGGCTAGTGCAGACGATACTGTTGCGAAGCTGTCCGGGTGTGCCGACGGCATGATCCTGGTGCATAAGTTGCGGCAAGAGACGCTTACGAACGTTTATGGCCCTCTTCGGTCGACCGAAGAGACGGGAAGTGAAGTGGCGCCAGATGATGAAGTGCAGGGTGACTCTTCGGATCTCGATCAGCCACACTCCTCCGGTATGCCGATCCAGGAAGGGAGGAAGTGGAGGCCCTGCTCTTCGCAGAGTAGTGGGGGAGAGTTACTGTGTGCGCGGATGCCCAGGAGGGAAGGAATGCAGGCTGAAGGGTATCAGGGGGCAGGCGTTGGGAGCAGCAGTACGGATATCTGGGGCTTGGTTGTCCAGGGAAGAGAGAGTAAGCATCACGCATGTTACATACTAAGGACCACGAGGGTCGTGGGTGAGTGCGGCACATGCACACGGTTCAGCGTCGTTCGTGCCAAGTGCTTTGGCCCTTCTCTCCATACGCAGCTGGAGAATTCCTGGCTGATGTAGGTACTAGGTGAGAAGACTAGGGGGGAAAGAAGAGATAGGGAAGGAGGAATGCGAGGGGAGGGGAGGGGAGGGAGTGTAAGTATGTGGAGGATATCTTAGATGGGAGAAGACGTGGCATTGCAGTCGTCGTGCGGAGAAGGGGTATCTTCTAAAAATCTAAGGCGTCGAGATTGTATGCAGTTACTGCGGCTGCGGCTGGTGGTGGTGGTGGTGAATCTGATGATCCTTGTTCTCAAGACAACGCGGTAATGATGATGACGGTGTAAATCGGAAAAAGAGGATGAGGTGTTGGGGTCCGCGAATTTTTGGAGTTCCAGTGTTGTAAAAGAGGGTCTGTACAGGTGAGAGGGTGATGGCTGATTTACCGGCTTGGCAGGCTGCAAGTGACCCACACGCAGCGCTTCTTATCAGAAAGGCTTGTCTTGTGGGCTGTCCTGTCTAGTCCGCTGTGTAAATCAATGTACAGCGTGTGAGCGGGGGGCTATTGACTGCATGGATATGGGAAAGGAAGGGTTAAGGGAATGCGCTTCATGTGCGTTTGCTTGTTTGTTTGTTTGTTTGTCTTTGGTGTTTGTTTTTTTGTTTTTTTTTATTCTTTTATGTGATAGTTTAAACCACCAGTACCGGCGAGGCTTCCCTAAGTTCTCTCCTGTACACACGGAGACGGTGCTTTCTGCGTACCGATCTGCCTCCGGGCGGTTACTCTGATCGGGAAAATTTGTACAGGTGAGAATTGTCCGCATGATAGTGGTGGTTTAAGGGGGCTGAGAAGGACAAAAGCAAATGGAACGGATTTATTGGTTCCTTGTTTGTCTTTAATCTTGGTTGGCGAGCAGGGACGACGAGGCATACGCAGTCTGCTCTCTGTTTTTTTTTTTCTTTTTTCTTTTTTCTTTACCATGTGCCTTTGCGGAAGCTGGTGAAGGTTTCAGACACAATAAATTAAATCAGTCTGTCAATCAGTTCAAAGGAAGGCTTCGCGATCAGCAATATAGACCGCCGGTTCACCCGAAGCAAAGTACTGCGTTTGCCGGTATTCGCAGTAAGTAAGAGCTTCTCGATTCGGACCCGGGTCGGTATAGAAAGGGGCAGACCACTTTGGACGGCGCGCAGTTGCAGGCTCGTGAGCCTTCTGAGGTATAGCTTCGTCAACTTGGGCTTGTGTGAACTCGTCGTTTTAACGGTTACGACTCTGGAACGTGTGACGAGCTGCAAAGGCTGTGTGCTGCGGCTGCTGATTAGCGGATTTGGTAAGAGTGTCCTGACCCTGACGATTACATGCGATCGTTGTTTTTTTCTGTCGGGGCTACTGTGTGCGCAACAAGCCAAGCCTGCTGCTGGATGGACGTCGTCGGGTCTGGCTTGTTGCAGTTATATTTTCATCTAGATGTGCATAAGGTTAGGAACTTAGGATTTATATATGCAGATAGGATCGGGGTGTAAGTGGATGGTGGTTTTCTCTGGTTTCTAGTGTAGGCGGGCTGTGGTTTTCTCTGGTTTCTAGCGTAGGTGGATGGCGGTTTTCTACGGTTTCTATGTGTAGGTAGCTCACTTTCTCTGATGTCTTTGAGGGGTGGAAAGTTGTTTCCTTTCGGTTTGTTTTTTTAGTGGGGATGCAGAGGGAACTGAAATGGTAGGGGATTGAAGATGGTGAAAGATATGCAATAGCTGCAGGCTGTGGCAATTGATGTTAAAACTACGGAAGTTAGTAGGAAAGGTGGTTTTACAGGAGGCGACACCTTGTGACACGCCCTGCAGGTGCCAGCCAATGCGAAGGTTATCAAGCTGTGGAGAACAGATGGTTTATGATGATGGTTCCACTCTTCTGTCCTTGGTATTTGTTGAGCTGCTCGAGCATAATTGTGTAGATTGGCTCTGATGGCATGCTTGCTGTAGATAGGCAGATAGCATGGTTTATGCAAACTGGGTGTGAATCAGATAGATAGATAGATAGATAGATAGATAGATAGATAGATAGAGATAGAGAGATAGATAGATAGATAGATAGAGAGAGAGAGAGAGAGAGAGAGGAGGCTGATGGGTGAACTTTACTGTGGACTGTTTTAAATCCACCTTTGGTTGGTTTTCCCCAGTGAGAAATGAAGTTAGAGACTGACAGAACCGACACTACTTTTGCAACTGCACGGGCAGAATTTGGGAAGGGATGGTGCATGGGCACTCGTGACACGTTATGGCACGGCACGTGCAAGACGGTGCAGCACTTTCTGCCACGGCACGTGCAACACTTCAGCTTTTTTTTATAATCATTTGTACTACTTCAGTTGGACGGCGCACTCAATTTTTGTCGAAGTGGCGCCAATGGGTAGAGGTCGTTTATTTTTTCCGGTCACTTGCTACTTCAATTTACTTGTAAGGGAGATATATTCAAAAGCTTGCCCTGCTGTTGATCTATGTTCATCGGGCTTTCAGGATGAAGCGTGAGAGTCGTTGAGAGCATCATGGATATTGTATTACTTTCCATTGCACTCAAAAGGTTGTGTTTGCTGATGATTTATGTCCGCATGGCGTTCAGGATTAAGCCTGAGAGCCCTACAGATCTTACCCATTGCACATTTATTATGAGATAATCGTTGGTTGTTTGCGTGCTGAACGTCTTGGTGTTCAAGTAGGTGATTGCTACCGGGCAATAGTCGAGCCTAATTGACTTGTTAACCTGATCCATCTCTTCTTGCCTTGTATGCTGTTTACAGGCATTCCTTTTCTGGGCGTTGGCTTATCATTCTGTCTTCGTGTTTTTTTTTTTTGCACTTTCTTTTGGGTGTCCTCTACCTCTCATCTTGTGCCATCGTCTCGTGCCTTTGTGCCTGTCTTCTTCTTCCTTTCATTGGTGTCCTCTCCTCTTTAACCGTTGTCGAGATTTTCTGGTGTATAGATGGACTGTGATTCCGTAGCATCATCTCGCAGCTTTCTGTGAAACTAAAAGAACCTGCTCGCATGATGTTCAACTTGAAAGCAAATAAGATTGACAGCTTACAAGTTACAAGTATAATTTATTAATTTCCCTACCTTTCCTTTATTTTCCTCTTTTAATAAAGTGCAAGGAATACGAGCGAGAGCGATAGACAGAAGTCCAAATTGCAAGAATCATGAAGTAGTCCAGATAGTCGTGTACCAAGTAGAGTGCACAATGCACCGAGATACCAATAAAAAAAGAGCAATACAATGAACTCGAGTGCCAATGCCGACGCTCTCTGGTCACACCAACGCTCTATCCAATGTCGCTCCCACTGTCTGGCACCCAGCGCCCAGCCTACACTACTCAGCCTATCTATGCTGCCTATCTATGCCATTTACATTCATGGGACTGGATCACATCGAAGTTGGAGACCGATGTATGTGATGTCTTCACCAATGCCGACCGCCAGCGTACACCAGGTACGTTCTCTCTCCTCCCCTCACATTACCCTGTCTCCCTTCTGCATGCGCCTCCTACCCGAAGGAAGGACACGATCGCCATCACCCGTTTACCCGCACACTCAGCCCGGCTGCCGTGCGCCCGCTGCCACCCGCAGCTCACCTCTCACCTCTTAGCGCCTGCGTGCGCCCCAGCCTGCCGGCATAGCGCAGTGTTGCAATACAAAGCGGCAGCGTGGTCGCAATGCCTGCTCAGGCCAGAATGTCCTAGCCCTGGGGCACACACTTTCCTTCAAAGTGTGCCTGCTGCTGGCTGGCCGGGCCAGGCGTGTGGGGGGCCCAGTAGCTTGCCTCTGGCCCCAAGTGTCTGCGCCCCAGGCCCACTTTCAGATACTGGCCTGGGCCTCGTGCAGTTCAGCACGTCCCTGCAGCCACCTAGCCTCCCAAGTGTTTGCAGCAGCATTCTCATTGGCTCACGGCTCGTGTGACGACAATCGTGCTTCCTCGTTGGCCTGCCAGTCTGTGATGTGTAGGGCTCACACAGCGTGTGCCCAGGGCGCAACCACCTGAGCCCTGGGCTCAACTACGCAGCACAGCTCGTTGCTTTGGAAAGACCCGGGAGGCTCACGTTGCTCTGTAACCAACTGGCGTGCTGCAGCTGTCTGAGTACCCGCATATGGAAAAATGTCGAAACCAGGCCTCACGTGGATATTCAGGCTCGCCTTCGCTTAGGGCGTGCAAGGGCTTGCTAGTGGCCGAAGCCCAGAACGCTTGAATGTCTGATAAGGGCCCTGTGAGGGTCATTCCTCGCAAACGGTTGACAGCCTTGAGAAATCATCGTGACACTGACCGGCCCCAGGTAACTCAGGGATCTTGTTCATCTGGTTCCATCTGGATTCGAAGTCGTGTACGCACTTTTTCAACTGTTTGTGGGTGTACGAACTGAACAGAGTTGCATCGAAAAGATAATTTCCGTGCTGCCCGAGCTATGTTTTCAGACACGCACTTCATCACAAGTGTTTTTTCTTGAAGGACGTACGGGAGAAGTCCTCTGGTAAGACATTAATTTTATAAAGTGGCTGTCGAAAGAGACAAAAGCTCACTCTCATATCACATATATGTTGATATAATGAGGTATTCATAGTAGCAACTTCTGTTGACACCTACATCTCTAATCATTGAAGCTTCATTACAAATGCTGGGAATGGTATCCTGAGCATCAGACATATGATGTATGTTGTGGGAGTTAATTCAGCCTTGTGCTCATGTTCGTTTTCACATCATATTGGCCAAAACCAACAAATGCTGGGATGATGTTTTTGACCTGTAGCCTATGCCTACAAATAACTCGTGTTTTTCACCTGCAATTGGTCTTCTCCAATCTGGCTGTCTGTGTGCTTCACAGGCATGACAGATGCTCTTGTGCTCCCGTTTCAGACTCTCTCTCTCTCTCTCTCCCCCCTGTCTTGAGGCTTGGTTTGTCAAAGCATTTTTGGTGCAGAGGAGAGGATAGCAGAAAAGGGACAAGAGTGTTGCTGGCTGTCTGTGTGCCTTGCAGGCAGGAAAGCCACTCCAGTGCACTGGTGTCAGAGTCTCTCGCCATCTCGCTTCGCTGTCCATGGTATGCACCATTGTAATGTCATCCGGACCTCGGAAGATGGGAAGTCCGGGCGGTTATAGAGTCGTATTCGCTTCACAGTTACACACGATTGTAGAAGTCCGAACCTCGGACTCGGACTCGGACTTGGACTCGGACTCGGACTGATTGCAGAAGTAAGGGCCCAATGAACGGGAATTCCTCGGACACACCAGATTTGGAGCCAGTTAGGAACATTCCTCCCGTGGCCTTAGAATTGGAAGACCCTCCTCCTGGAATCCCGGAATCTGAACTAGGAAGATGCTTTTACTCTGAACCTGTTCACAATCGGAAGGCGAGCGGTCATGTGGGCGATCTGGTTACGAAGGTGTACTCGTGAAATGGAAGGTGCTCGCCTAGATGACCCTGAATTTACTGATACGAACAGATCCAAACAGAGATCACTATCAAATGAGAGTCCCTTAAGGAAAAATTACAATTTATGTCACTAGAAAAAGAAATATTGCATCATATCAAATCATTCAATCAGAACTGGCTTGGAGGGGACCAAGGAGGGAGATTGGGACGGGCGAAGTGGGAAGGAACAAAAGAGAACGCCCAAGAGGAGTTCCCAAGGAACTATAGCCTGACCTTCAATGACTGGAGCAACGTTGATCCTACTGTACCTTTAAGACCTCTGTCGGATTTCCCTGATCCTTTCCCTCTCTCGAACCTTTGCTTAGTTTCCAGGTCGTGGCATGTGTATCAATGATCTGGGAAATCCATTGCATTGTCTGTGAATGTTGTGGTCAGCCTTTCTAACAAGTGTGTGATTAAGTGCTAGGAAGATACGTATATCTGGCGCCCTCTCAGGGTGAAGAGACACAAGACTCAACATCAGTTGCAGATTTCCCACTGGCACTGATCAGAAGGGACACTGGGTCTGGTTCCCAGTTTGTGTTGTACCTCGGTTCTTCATTGTTTCTCATGGGACGATGGACCTGGTTTCCAGCAGGTGCAACTCCCCACCAATAGAATGGAGCTCCGATACGTCAGGTAGGAGTGCATGCTCGTATCATCACTCCTACCTGACGCCATGAGATTTGTTAAAAAAAAAAGAAAAAAAAAGAAAAAAAAAGGAGGGTTCAAAGAAGGATAAGGAAGTTGTTGGAAAACATGCACATGCATGCAGAATGCGATCCGACAATGCAAGAAAGCATGTCATATGACACTTCAAGTGTGAATGTGGGTGCCTCAGTTCCTCAAGTGCGTGGAAGCATGATGACTCTCAATCACATTCAGAAATGTGTACATGCTCGCTAAGGTGAACACCCAAAAGGCAAAAGGAAGATTCAACATGATTTGTCCCTAAATCCTACACCTATGTGCAACCCGAAACTAAAAGTGCAATTGCAAAAACAAGGTCGGACAAATCTTAAAGATTTGAAAAAACTAAGTATATCGGATAAAATGGAGAATCTTAAAGATTTGAAAAAACTAAGTATATCGGATAAAATGGAGCAGGTTAACTTGTGCCGTGTTGGAGATAGAGGGTTAGGCCCAGGTTCTGTTTTTCTTCTACGAGATGACAAAATTAAAATCTGCCGTGTGGTCCCAGGTATGGAGCGACAAACAAAAGCGGGAAAGGTGCAGGGAAGGGTTTTTACAACTATCTGATTCAAAAAAATCTTTGAACTTCGTCATGCACAACGCACCGTCTTATGCCTGGTGGAAAGGGAGGGGGAACGCACATCGGATATCGATTTCAAACAAGGGACCGACATTGTCTGTCGCAAAGCTCAGAATTCGAGTCAGAGGGTCGCAGTCTCGCTGCTTTTTCCTTGAACTCCTCACCACGTGTTCGATAGTTCAACCCTTGGGCTTGAAAACGTTCCGGGCAGCAACAATCGTTGCGCAGGGTGCAAGGCCAATGGGTATCAACAATCACGTTGAAGGGGAGCAAGACGGAGGGATATGAGTATCAACAATCACAAAGTCGACATTGACGAATCCTGAGCACTGTGCTTCGGAAGGGAAGTGGTAAGGGCCACCGATCCTGGTGACAACTTATCGTACGTCCCACTCGCAAACGCGTGTCATATCCTCATTGTGCGGGAAAGACCGTGGGCGGGGAGGTTCGAGAAGTTGACATCTCGATGGCTCCGCTGGCTCAGTCCACATGACAGATACACTTGGATTCACCGTTCACAAAACAAAGCGATCAAATCCCATCGACTTCGGGAATCGCCTCCATGTTGGAAATCAGGCAATGCGATATTTCACGCCGATGTTCCACCGAATCCACCATAGTGAGGGACCCAGGAAGCTGATGGATGAGTTCAGGAAGAAGTTTCCGGAGCAAGCAATTACGTTTTTTTCAAAAGAAAAGAGCAAAAACAAAAAATATGAACCTGAGTGACGTAAACAAAAAATTATGGGTCGATGCTTAAAGTTAAGCGTCCCCGACGACGCAACAAGAAGAGCAAAGATCTTCACGAACAAATTTCTACTCAAAATGAAGATTGAGGCCGGGGTCCTCACAGTCTACCCGGAGTAACCGAACCGAACATGCTGAGAACCGGGCTCAGCGTCCCTCATATGATGATGATGGTGGTACTAATGATGATGGACTTACTTACGAGTGCAGCAGCTCTAAGGGGTGTCA